GAGCTACAATTCAAGATGAGATTTGGGTGGGGACACAGCCAAACCACATCAGGCTTGTTCTGTTTTGACTACCTGGAGTACTACAATTCAATTCTGGCATTAATGACCTAGAGTTAGTACCAAATTCCACAAGTTAATGGCTCAGTCCTCCACAAGACTGCTTCTTATTCCGGATGCCAGCCACAAGTGCAGTCCCCAGTCCCCAGGCTCCCTGCACTTCTGACTGATTATAAATTTTGGAGTTCCCATAACTACCTCAGTTTTGATAATTCGCTATGGCTCAGAACTCACTGAAAGCACACTATGTGTAAAACTCTACATGTAGAGTTTTATTATAAAGTGTACACTTAGGACAAGATCTGGAAGAACTCTGGATGCAAAATTTTCATACTCTCTTCCCAAAGAATCTGAGTGTGTCATACTGCCCGTACACCAGTATGTTCACCAACCAGAAAACTCCACTGAGTTTCAGTTTCCACAGTTTTTATGTGGAATATGATTACATAGGCATGATTGAATATGCAGTTGGCCACATAATTGAGCTCAGTCTCCAACTCTCTTTTCCATGCAGGTAAAACTGGCCCAAAGTTCCAACCTTCTAACCATGTGTTTGGTATTTCTGGTGTCTGTCTCCCATCCTGAAGCTAATTAGGAGTCTGTCATGAGTCACCTCATTAGCAAAACAAATAATTTCTGTCTCTCAGGAAATTCCCAGGATTTTTGAAGTTGTCAGGAACTAAGATCAAAGGCCAGATAAGCTTTTTTTTTTTTTTTTTTTTTAAAGACAGGGTCTTGCTCTGTTGCCCAGGCTGGAGCACAGTAAGGCAATCTTGGCTCACTGCAACCTCCACCTCTTGGGCTCAAGCAATCCTCCCACCTAAGCCTCCCAAGTAGCTGGGACTATGGGTACATACCACCATGCCTGGCTAATCGTTTATTTTTTTGTAGAGATGTGGTCTCACTATGTTGCCCAGGCTGATCTCAAACTCCTGGGCCCAAGTGATCCTCCTGCCTCAGCCTCCCAAAGTGCTGGGATTACAGGTGTGAGCTATCATGCCTGGCCAAATTCTTTATTATACCACAGAGCCCTTAATATATCAATAATAGTTGTTTAAGTTTCTTATCTGATAATTCCAAAATCTGAATATATCTGAGTCAGATACTGATGTTTGCTTTGTCTCTTCAGACTTTTTTTCCTTCCCTTAGCATATCTCATAATTTTTTTTGTTGGAAGTGATCATACTATATCTGGTAATATAAACTGAGTTAATTGGGCTTTTAGTGTAAGGCTTTATGTTGATTTGGCTAGGAGCTAGGCTATGTTTAATGTGAATTGTAACACGTATGTGCCAGAGGCTCCAGTTTTCTATAGTTTCCTTTTATTCCCTGCTTCCATAGTGCCTTTAGGTTCCCCTAAGAACTCTTTCTTAAATAGATTATGTCTTTCAGCGCTCTCAGTTGTAATCCACTGTTTTTATACTGGAGCCTTGCTGATATGGTGGTAAGACTTTAAGGAGGAGGGAAAGATTCTATAATCTTATAATTAAATCTCAGTTATTTTTAGTGGGCTTGAGTCCCTGAGCTGTGACCTTCAGCGTTTCTCAGCCTTTTTTTTCCTGATCATTATGTGAGACAGGAAGGCTAGAGGGAACTAGCATTGTCTAGTTGCCCTTCTTCTTGGTCACATAAGACTCTGGTAATTTCCCTTGATGTAACTCTTGCGACAGAGAGCAGAAAACTCTGGGCTTATTTCAAAACGGCACTTCTTCTTTCCTCTTGCTGAAAGCAAAGGAGATATCTCTCCCATATGATTTTTACTCTTGGTGGGGCTTCTAGTGGCACAGAAAATCCTGGACTTATTTCAAAATGGCACTTCTTCTTTCCTCTTGCTCAAAGCAGAGATTTCTCTCCCATATGATTTTTACTTTTGGTGGGGCACCTAGTGGTAAATCCCACAAAAGTGTGGAGCCTCCTAAAACTGGGCCATCAGGAGTTTTTAAATCTCAAGTTAGTCTGCACTCAGCCTTCAGCAGTTTATCAATTGCCATTTAAGTGTTCCTACCAGTTACTGGCTCCAGAAGCCTCTGCTCTCGGTAAACTGTAATTCTTTGTATTTACACATCTCTACAGTTTTGGGGGTGGCAGTTTGTCCTGTGACTTCAGTTATCTGGTAGATCTAAGAAAAGCTGTTGATTGCTAGCTTGTTCAGCATTTTTCTTGTTGTGAGAACAGGAATGTTGACTTCTAAGCTCTTTGCATATCAGAGCTAATCAGGAAGCATGACCGGTATACAACTAGAGGAAGGGTGCTTAAATCTAAGTGAAATTAGCCTATCTGTGGTTCATGGTAATCATGAATATTGATTACGGCCAGACGCCACTGATTCTTCCATTAAACCAACTTTTCTGCTAGAATTGCAGTCTATGAATATAATATTTTGTTGAGTAGTTAGTAAAATTAAATGCAGTTTTCGAAAGGGGAATCTTTTAGGGAGATATGGCCTTATGGTTTGAACCAGATTTTATTTCCACTGTATCAAATCCCAGTGGCCTTCTCAGTGGCAGAATGGGCTTCTCACAAATTCTCTGCATTGTAGTTGTTAATTCTTAAGTAAAGTTACTCTGGAATGTGCTTTCTTTGGCTTATAAGCAGACCTCCTCTCCACCTTATGAGTTTCCAACTCTTTGCCCTTGAATTAGACACATGTTGGTAGATTGTAGCCTAAGGCCTACTACTTGCTAGTACTTGATAAAATCTTCTCCTTAGGATGAATGGGCAGTGGACTAAAGACAATTATTACAACTTTTTAATCAAAGCGGCTGAATCCATAACTATATCTTTCTAAATTAAGCCTGTTTTGTTATGAACTGTCTCTAGATTACCATTGGCATTGTTGTTGGTCGGATGATTTGGAGAAAATAAAAGAACATCATGATTTTTATTTTTCTTCTTCCTATAATCCAGTGATTCTCAACTAGGGGCAATTTTACTGCTGCAGGGACATTTGGCAATGTCTGGAGACATTTCTAATTGTCACACCTAGAGAAGTGATTGTTATTGGTGTCTTGTGGGTAGAGGCCAGGGATGCTGCTAAACATCCTACAACACACAGGACAGTTCCCGCAACAAAGAATTATCCACAAAAAGTTACCTGGCCCAAACTGTCAATAGAGCTGAGGTAAAGAAGCCCTGCTAGAATCTGAGAAATTAGCCACCGTGGCTTCTTTGTCTATACTAGGATCCTAATGATCTCATTATTTTTATCTCTTTATTAATTTTTGTATTACAAAGATAATGTTTTTTCTCTGGACTATTTTCTCATTTGACCAAAGAAGTTAGTCTTGAAATCCTGCCCCACAAAACTTACAGGTCAATAATTCACAGTATAATCTCCTTATTGGAGTGGAGGCCTATGGGTGCTGGAGTCCTAAGAGTTAAACACCGTTGCACAATTATAGTGTGTTTAGTGTGCAGCTTATACAAACAAAAATATTATCTGTACCTTTAATTTGTAGTTTACTTGTGTTATAGTAATAATACAGAGCAAATCTTGTATTATAGTAATAATACAAGGAAACTACAAATTAAAGGTACAGATAAAATTTTGAAAATAGCCTTAGTAGAAGAATGAGAACCAGCCTCTTTTGACCTACCGAGCTTCACATATGGTTTACAGATGTTCTCCCATTTCATCCTCATAACAGCCTCACCAGACAACCTTGTTCTTGTCAAATAAAAAGTCAAGAAGAGAACAGAATGATACTTTGAAGATAGTTTTATCCTGTTCCTGTTAATAAGTCAAATGTGTGCCTTGTATAAATTTACAACCTACACAATGTCTACAGAGAAATATAAAAATCACTCATTATTATACTATTAGAGATAACTGTTTAGTGTATTTCTTTGCTACTTATTTTTTTTGCATGTAAATGCATTTTAAATGTAATTACATTTATTCTGTGTACATCACTTTTATCTTTTCCCCTCCCCTCAATATCATTTCATGGGCATTTTAGGAGGTCAGTTGATATTTTCTTTCTTTTTCAGATTTGATAAGCTAATTTTTTTTTATTTCAATAGATTTTTGGGGAACAGATGGTGGTTGGTTACATGAGTAAGTTCTTTAGTGGTGATTTCTGAGATTTTGGTGTACCCATTACCCAAGCAGCATACACTTGAGTTGATATTTGATATTTTCTAAAGTGTGATATTTAATGATTTTAAATACTTCGTCATATGACTACTTCATATGTTTAATCATTCCCCTTGATAAGTAGCAACATTTTTCTGTACGAAAGAAACAAACCAAAAAACAAACAAAAGAGAAGAAAAGTTCCTGAAACACACTGGTATATCGAAACAACAAAATTCAACAACAAAAACAAAAAGTGCCACCAGCTACGTGATAAACAAACCATAAATCTTTGACTTCTCATCATACTTAAAAATACTGGGCTTTGTAAATATCCATTAAATTACATACAAATCCGTGTATGCAGATATTGCTATTTTTCACTGTGCCCAGAAAATCTGATTGTTGTAGTGTCTGCTTCTAAAAACGGGTAAGATATAATAGTGTTTCATATTTTAAGATAAATAGTATAGCTTAGAAGTGGAAGCCTGTTTCGGGGGTGGTTGATTTTCTTTTTAAGTACAAAAATAGTAATTTTAGTATCAATCCCAGGAGTTCCAAGCTTATATAAAATAAAATAATTGTTATTTATATCTATACTGGTATATATAGGATATATGTTATATAATACAGTTGACCCTTGAACAACATGAATGTTAGGAATACTGGCTCCCACACAGCTGAAAATCTGTGTAACTTTTGACTCACCCCAAATTTATCTAATATCCTACTGTTGACTGGAAGCCTAACTGGTAACATAAACAGTTGGTTAACACATATTTTGCATGTTGTATGTATTATACACTGTATTCTTACAATAAAGTAAGCTAGAAAAAAGAAAATCATAAGGAAGAAAAAATATATTTACCATTCATTATGTGGAAGTGGCTCATGATAAAGGTCTTCATCCTCACTGTCTTTGTGTTAAGTAGGCAAAGGAAAAGGAGGAAGAGGATAGGTTGATCTTGCTGTCTTAGGGTGGCAGAGGCAGGAGGAAATCTGCATAAAAGCGGACCTGCATAGCAACCCATGTTCTTCAAGTGTCCACTGCATATAGTTATGTAGTATTGCAGTTATATCCAGACATAATAGGCAAGACATGAGACATAAAATATAGTATTAATTTTGGAAGTCATCTAAATCATGCTCTGAGGGAAGGTACAAGGCTACTAGAGGCAAAGGGCCTTGCTCAGTCAGGGTGTGGCATAACTGGAAGCCCAAATGTCAGACTTTGTCCTCTGCTTAGCCTCAACCAGAGGTCAGATGTCTTTTGTTGCCAGATGTTGATAAACACAGAGAGGCAAGCTCTTCAGTTACCTTATCACCACCTTACTAATACATGTGACTGCAAAACATTGTCTTCATTTAAGTCAGAATATAAAGGAAAAGCCCCTAATGAATATGATTTCATGAGCTTTGGACATAAAAACTCACTTGGTAGCACATTATAATTTTAAATCACATTTAATTCCCTGCCAGCCAGGAAATAATTCCATGGGAAGTCAATCAATGAAAGTTAACAAGATCATTACTAGCAAAAAAGGTAATATTTTTCATTTTCAAAAAGTAAAGGGTTGGGTTGGATGAGAAGTAGATATAGGAGACAGAGCAGCATTCTCAGGTGTTGTTCATGCCCCTGCCATTGTTTTAATTGTGGCCGCAATATTGTTTCTCATGGCTGATGGTTGACTTTGGTGAGTAGAGGTAGGTAGTAGCTAAGAATGATCATGAAAAAATAGAACATTTTCTTTAAAAAGGAAAAATTGCCAAATGGTATATCAGTTTTGTATTTACAATCACCATAGTACATTTAGGTTATTGGTATTCTTTTACCAGGAAAGGCTGGGGAAAACTGGAGTGGCAAAGAGAAATAAAGAAGTATTAATTGGAAACCACCTCAAACATGAAAAAAATAGCTTTTATTTATTTCATTCTGCATCTGCTAGTCTCTGGGCAATCTAAAAAAACAGTCATCAGAATTATAGCCACATGGTGATTTTTTTTCTTCTCCAGAATTACAAGAAAATTGGCTCTCACACTGTGGAACTAAAAAGAGGGGCTATAGGGTGCTGCTTCTCTCTCTTGACATTTTACTTGGTTTTCAAAGGAATTCGTGACTAAGAATCTCATGAAATCTAAATGCGGTCACTGATGGAAATTTAGGTTTTCACAAAGAGCGCAGAAAGAAATTTACATGGCGAAAAAAAAAAGAAAAAATCTGCTCTGGCAAATGGGTGGTAAGGTAAGGATGTGTGTGTGTGTGGTGTATATATGTACACATCACATACATATATCAGTGAGTATGTATATCTCAATGATTTTCATTTGCTAGGTCTAATAATACATTTAATTTTTAAAATATGAGTTTTTTTCAGCAGTTGTATAAAAATAATTAATTATTGTTTTTCTTTTTCAGCAAGCTTATGAACTTTGGACATATTGAGATTATGTAAGTCCTTGGACAGCATTAATATAATATTATCTAATTTGTATTAAAAGTGTTTACCCATTTTGTTCATTAAGTATAAATATTTGGAAAGATGATAGATTTTAAGCCATATATGGAGCGAACTGACACGTTCATCCACAAAAGTCACATCCAGTTTTGAAAAATGAGAAGATTGAGGTGTCACTTTCAGTAGTACTTCTTTTTGTTTGTTTATTACTTTATTCATCAGCACATCCAGGAGAGCTTAATAACTGGCTCTCCTAAAATAAAAACCCTAGTTGGTACTCCCACCATGGCCAATTTTAAGGACAAGGAACACTAAGTTACAAGGAAATGACAATAATCAGTTCTCATTAGATGGTAAGGACAGGCATGAACACTGTGCTACAGCTAACCAGGAGAAAAAGGAATGTTACGGAACTTAAACTGCTTAGAATGTTGATATAATAAAGGGGGATGAGGACAGAACAAGCACTGAGGCTCGTGAGCCAGGCAGAAGTCAGAGTGGGAGGAGCCTTGAGGTCTCTCCAGGAGATTCAGGGACCATAGGATTTGGTAGTGATTCAGGTACGAAATGATCATGGCCCTCATCATTGTAATGACCGTAGTATTTTGAAGGAATTCAAAAAATAGATGATGGACATGTCCCTAATCGTGATAGTGCCCATGGGATTTTGTAGCTATAGAGTGAAAAGATGACAGTGACCATATCCAGGGTAATGTCTGTGGGAATTTGTGAATATCCAGGTAAGAAATGAGTGTTTCTACTTAGGAAGTGAACATGGGATACTGAAGTTATAAAGGTAAGAAATGATGATAAGCCTAACTGGGGGTGAGCATGGTGTTTTCTAGATATCCAGATAAGAGAGGATGATGGCCCTAACTCAAGTACCAAAATTGGATTTCCTCAGGTAAGCACATAGGAGCTGAAGATGTTTCTTACCGTGTTAGTGAACATGGCATTTTGTGCTATTCCAGACATGATGGCGAACCTAACCACAAAATGACCATGGGACTGTCAGGGGTCTAGTAAAGACATGATGGTGCCCTTAACTGTGAAGGTTATGATGAAATTTGTAGGTCTGTAATTAAGAGATGATGGTGATGATAACCACAGTAATGAGCAGGGGATTTTGCAAGTAACCAGGTAAGAGATGATGGTATCTCTAAAAATATGGTGACCGTGGAATTTTGAGGATATCCAATCAAGGAATAATGTGTTACTAGAAGCGGTAGTACCAAGGTATTTTGCAGTTACCCTGGAAAGAAATGATGTGTCCTTAGGAATGGCATTTAATCTGGGTAATTTGTACGTCTCCATGTATGGTAGGCTTCTCTAAATCTGGTAGATCTCATGGGCTTCTGTAGGCATCCACATGAGAGATGACGTGACACAAATTGTAACCAGTTGCCACCATTATAACCAAGGTGTTTTATAAGTATCCAGCTTAAAACTCTAGCTTTATTTATTTCTTTGATGTAAGACTTTCGTGTTATCTATCGTTTTCTTTCTTTTTGAGACAGAGTCTGGCTGAGGTCAGTGCTAATGTGGGCCTAAACCACAGCCCGCACCGTGGGACTGTCACAGAGACCCAGTTCAGTGATGATGTGTCCCTACAGGCCTTCCCATCGTTACTTCCTTCACACGTATTCAGGTGAGAAATGATTGAGTCTTGTCTGGTAAGTGATGGTGGTGTAGGCCTCCCTGTTGTTCCCCTGATTTAGCTTCAGGTATCCCGGTCGGAAATGATAAGAGTCCCTGACATACTTGAAACCATGAGTTTTCCCTCTGCATATTTCAGAGACAATGCCTAACCCTGTGAGCGCACTGGGAATGCAAATACCAGGTAATCATCCGGCATTCACAGCCACAGCAGTGACCGTGATCATTTTGCTGGTGTCCTGTAGAGAGAAATACTGTCTTCTGGGACCACTGCCCTGAGTTTGGGGGTCCCTGCCAGCATCCAGGTAAGAGTCGTTGAATGATGGATGTGAGCATCATGATTTGCAGGTGTCCTGGTAGAACACCTTGTGTGTTTCTTGGCTAACTCCAACCTCAGCCTCCTGTGTTCAAGTGATTCTCCTGCCTCAGCCTCCCGTGTTGCTGAGATGACACATGTGTGCCACCACCCCTGACTAATTTTTGTATTACTAGTAGAGAAGGAGTTTCACCATGTTGGGCAGGCTGGTCTCAAACTCCAGACCTCAGGTGATCCACCTGCTTCGGCCCCCAAGGTGCTGGGATTACAAACATGAGCCACCACTCCAGGCCCCTTGTGTGTTTCAGAGGCATATGTCTCAGTGTAGGTTTTCTAGGCTCCCAGGAGAAAATCCCTACAAACAGGAGTCACGATCAGGAGACATGTCTGTTATCTGGGTAAGTGATGGTGTGCATGGTAAACTCACCACAGACCAGGTAATCTCCACATATCTAGGTAAGTGAGGTTCCTTTGCCTGAACAGTTTACCATGTGATGGGTTAACAGCTAATTTGGAAAGAAAGGGGAGTGGCCCCCCATTTGCCTCGCTATGCGATCCTGTTCATTTCTGTCCTGAAGAGAAAGTATGATGTATGTGCTCTGTCAGTGCTGATCGATTTGAACGTATCCAGGACTCACGTGGCACTGTGCATCACGGGAGTAACTGTGGTGGATTTGCAGGGAAGTCAGGCAAGGAAAATGGCGTGTCCTATGATGGCCTAGACCTTGGAGGGCCCACAGGCATCCAGGGACATTTTTGGCTCCCACAGTGGTGATAGTGAGCAAGTAGTTTGCAGGGTCCTGGTGGATAAGCTGTGTCCGTAGACTCATTGGTCACACATGTGATTTCAGGTTCAGGCAGGCAGAAGTCAAAGAGTGTGAGGACAGCCTTGAGGTCTCTACAGGAGATTCAGGGTCCATAGGATTTGGTAGGGATTCAGGTACGAGATGATCATGGCTGTCATCATTGTAGTGTCCATGGTATTTTGTTGGAATCTAAGAAACAGATGATGGACATGTCCCTAATCACGATAAGAAATGAGGGTTTCTACTTAGGAAGTGAACATGGGGATCCTGAAGTTACAATGGTAAGAAATGATGATAAACCTAACCATGGGGTTGACCATGGTATTTTCTAGATACTCAGATAAGTGAGGGTGGTGACCCTAACTCAAGTACCAAAATTGGGTTTCCTCACTTAGTCACGTAGGAGCTGATGATGTGCCTTCGCGTGTTAGTGAAATCAGAGCATGAGAACAGCCTTGAAGTCTCTCCAGGAGATTGAGGGTCCATAGGATTTGGTAGGGATTCAGGTACAAGATGATCATGGCTGTCATCATTGTAGTGATTTTGAAGGAATCCAAGAAACATATGATGGATATGTCTCTAACCATGGTAGTGCCATAGGATTTTATAGCTATGGAGTGAAAATATGACAGTGACCGTATCCACGGCAGTTTGTGAGATTTTTAAAATATCCAGGCAAGAAATCAGTGTTTTTACTTAG